ACTTAAAGTCGAGTGGAAGTTAAATCTATCTAATGATAGTGGCTTCTAAGACACAGATTTAATGGCTTCTACGACACTTCGTGGTGTGATGAATAGAAGCAAATTGTTTTATCTCAAAGGGATTCAACTCTGAGATTCTTCAGCCAAATGATCTGCACTTTGGCATGGAGGTAGTGGGGGTAAATACATTTTTTCTCCATTTTCGTGAAGCAGGCCTTCAAAAGTGTTTTATTTTTTGCCATTTTCAGGCAGAAAATATACATTTTGAGATCTGGAACTCTTGTACAGGAACCAAATGACCCGAAATTCGGTATGGTGATGCCTTGAATAGCATTCAAGCTTTTGACACACGCCTTTTGGCTATTCTTGTACAAAAAATGTACATTTTTGGCTCTTGTGTCCTTATACTAAATCCGGATGACATGACATTTGCTATGACTTTGACACATGTTCAGAGAATGTCCGTCACTTTTTTGGCATTAATTACTTCAAAAATGTGTAAAACGGTATTTTGGCTAATTCCAGATAAAAAAATGCACATTTTGGCTCCTGTGCACCAATATTGAAAAAAAAATTAAATTTTGGTATGGGTTATCCATGGATACAATATCACAGAACTTTTACCTTTTTACGCTTTTGGCATTGTAAAATTGGCCTTTTTTTTCTTTTTTTGGCGCTCTTATGTGCTAATAACAAAATTAAATGACCCGAAACTCAGCATAAAGATTGGCACCAAATGCTTAAACAATAGTGTTCACTATTCAGATTAAAAAACCTAAAATACTTTTATTTACCTAATTTTTAGTAAAAACCGCGATTGTAGCTTGAAAACCATGAAAAAAAAAAGCTTGAATACTTCTGGGTCAACTGGATTGGGACAAGTGAATTATATATAGTTTGGGACTACCTTGCACTATGTACAACATATTTCACGTACGTTTATCTGTTCATCATGTTTTGGTTTTGACTTGTGCTTAGCCCTGACTGATAAAACGTTAAATTAACGGTCGCCGTTCATTCATAAAACACACAGGCGACACGGATAAAGATGGAAAGAGTGGTCGCCATAGCGTCTGTGACGTCATCCGCGCCAACTGCAACTGCATGGCGGTCACCTTGGCTATAGTGTTAGTACTGCTCAGCGCAGGTTTCACCTTCACAGTGGTGATGCAGATTCAACAAGAACAGGTAATACCTTCTCTAATGTTCCGTATAACACATAACAACTGACACTTATTGTTTGTACTCTGGTGTTTTAGAAACCTTTTCAATGATCGCTAGCCTATTTCTAGCACTTTATTGTTTTTGGAAATATCAAATGTGTTATGAACTGACCCTTATTGTTGGCACTTGAATGTTTAATGAAATACTACAAATGACCACTCTTGGTGGTACTCTATTGTTTCCGGTGTTTTCATGACTGACCCTAATTGTTATTACTCTAATGATTTACAAAATATCACACCTGAACTCATCCTCCCGAGGCAGGCATTCTAGAATACCGCGCGACAGACCCTGCCTCAGGAGGATGACCTGACCTGTACTGTTGACACTCTGGTGAATTAGGAAATATCACAAGTTAACATTATTTTTGTTAATCTTGTAGTTTGTTAATCTTGGGAAATATAACAACTCACCCATATTGCTGTACTCTGATCTTTTAGGAAAAATCACAACTGACCATTATTGTTCTCACAATGGTGTTTTAGACATATCTTAGCTGACTCTTAATTCCTGTACTCTGGTGTTTTAGAAAATTACACAACTGGCGTCCGTCCTGTTTGCTGAACAAAACCGAACAACCGCCTTAGAACAACGTCTGTTCGACATATCTACTGTGCTGACAGGTAAGTTGCTTTTAACGCCCTTAACCCTACCTAGACCGGGCTTTTTTTGACATGGGGGGACCGGGGGGGGGGCTCTTTTGACCCCCCTAAGAACTCGCGAACGGTATATCGTATGACCACCAAATTTTCAGAGAATAGTGTACTAGTGAAAATTTATCATATCTACAATTTTTATGTCGTTATGACGTAATATGACGTCATTATGACGTCATTAATGTGATTTTATTGGCCAAAACCGTCTAAATAGGTTTTTCCCTGAAAACTAAATAGTATTCAACATAACTGTACCAAAAGTGTTTATGACAGAATATTATGGTGTACTTAGTCTTATGTTGCCCATAGCAACACCGGTGACGTCATAAAACGACGTCATGCATATCTAAGATATCCGCCATCTTGGATCATCAATCTTGAATTTTCAAAAATTGTTTTTTTTTTCATGATAAAGCCTAAAATACATTGTAAACATACTAAAGACCTTCATTTAAACCTTTTTTTGAAAAAGAAATGGAAGTATTGATGAAATTTTAATAAAAATAACCTGTATATACCTGTTCTAGTGATATGGTCCGCCATCTTGGATTTTGGCCAATGACGTCATCAAATTAGCATAAATTATGCATATTAAATGATAAAATTTACATAAAATTATATGGGATGTTATTAATATTAGTAACCATGAGTAACTTGACATAAAACCCATAAAATTCTATTGTTGAAACAAAAAATACTAAATTTAGCAAAAAATGCCTGTCAGAAACCCGTTACCATGGCAACACAAAAAATTATTATCTTATTCCAATGATAGAGAATTGTTGCCAACAATATTCTAGGAAAAGTCACCAAGTTTGGCCGTTCTACGGCTAGCCGTTCAGACGCTAGTTGACATCAAAGTTGCCGCGGGCACTTTTAGCCCCCCCCCCCCCGGTCTAGGTAGAGTTAATCTGCAAATATCTGTATCTGTATCTGTATAGCCGGTATAACCGCCCTTCGGCGTAACACACCAGCTTCGCAGGCACGCGGCGCGGCGGCAGCTGGCTATATTACACCGACCGACTTGTTACACCTAACCCTTGAACTTCTAGCTCTAGACATTGTTTAAAGCTATCTATTGACAGTGCCCCTACTGTACTTGGTGACATTGAGTTCCACTCTGCGATAGTTCTTGGAAAGAATGAATTCTTGAACACCTCAATCCTTGGTTGATAACTCTGGTACTTGAATGCGTGGCTATTTCTTGTTCTCTTCTGAGCTGGTATTAGGTACTTAGTAGTGGGACATCCACCAGTTTATTAGTCATTTTGTACATCATGCATAGTCTAGACATCTTTCTTCTGTCTTCCAGTGAGGTTCACTGTAGGTTTCTTTTCATTTCCGTGACACTAGCACCTCTTTCATAGTTGTTCATACAGAATCTTGCAGCTTGATTCTGTACCCTTTCCAATTTGTCTTTGTCTTTCTTTGTATATGGATCCCATACTGTCGCAGCGTATTCTAGGTTCGGTCTTACAAGTGACGTGTATGCAAGTGATTTTACTCTCGTTGGACATGCCCACAGATTACGGGTTTAATCACTCCCAATGTCTGTTTCGCCTTAGTTGTGATATTATTAACATGTGCACCCCACTTCAGTCCGCTTGTCAGCGTGACGCCCAGATACGGATGGATTTTTGTGGTTGCTAAAGCCTGACCACAAAACTGGTAGCTAGTTGCATGTGGTGTTCGTTTGTTTGTTATGTGCATAATGTAGCATTTTTCGGGATTAAACTGCATGAGCCATTTGCTTTGCCATTCTTCCAGGATGTTCAGGTCTTTTTGGAGAAGTTGTGAGTCGGTCTGTGTAGAAAGCTCTACATACAATAGACAGTCATCGGCAAATAACCTCACATTTGAGTCAAGCTGATCTGGTAGGTCATTTATATACAAGAGAAAGAGCAATGGCCCCAGGACGTTTCCTTGAGGGACCCCAGACGCTACTTTAACTGGAGCCGACGCCTTCCCTTCAACCACTACTGTTTGCTCCCTGTTGGTCAGGAAAGCCTTTAACCAATTCAGCGTAGGGCCTTGGATTCCATAATACTCCAGTTTTGAGATGAGCCTGCCATGGGGGACTTTATCAAAGGCTTTAGTGAAATCAAGTATTGCTAAATCTACCTGCCGTTTACTGTTTAGTGCGCCAGCTATGTCATGGACTGTTAGTATCACTGCACGAAAAGTCGGATTTACCACAGAGGTATATGTGATGTAAAGCCCGGTAAAGGTTACATTTACCGGAGTTTTACCCATCGGTAAATGTGCAACTATACCACAGGTATACCAGCATGGTAAAGCGGGTAATGTTTATCCTCTTTACCGACATTTACCAGGTTCGGGTAAAGGTACATTTAGCGAGATTTACCGTACGCGGTATTTCTGACATATATTGTGGGCATTTAGCGAGATTTACCATACGGGTATTCCTCAGGTGCGTTTACGAAATTTACCGAGATTTACCAGGTGGAGTATTTCTGACATTTAGTCGAGTTTACCCATATTTACACTAGATTTACCATGCCTTTACCAGAATGATTTTGCACTATACCCCCCCCCCCATATACCCACATGTAACTTGATAGTCTGGCAATCACGTTGTGTAACCCCATGAATTACAAGCACAAGAACTTGGTTTTGGGGAGAACTCAAATATATTTATTGGATAAACATTGAGAGACATTGGCAGTAACATTTTCTAAAAGGTATGCTGCATTGCAAATACTTAAGTTAGTTTTACCACATACCACATTTCTTACAAACATGAAAATAATTACATTCAGCATTTATCATGAAAGAAATTTAACAAACAGAATATCTGTAGGCACAATCTAAATATATCAATACCCCTGAAAAAGGCTTTAAAAAGAGGTGCGCCCATAATTAAAGCCTTAAACAGGGGCGCGCCCCTGAATAAAGCCTTAAACAGGGGCGCGCCCCTGAATAAAGCCTTAAACAGGGGCGCGCCCCTGAATAAAGCCTTAAACAGGGGCGCGCCCCTGAATAAAGCCTTAAACAGGGGCGCGCCCCTGAATAAAGCCTTAAACAAGGGCGCGCCCCTGAATAAAGCCTTAAACAGGGGCGCGCCCCTGAATGAAGCCTTAAACAGGGGCGCGCCCCTGATTAAAGCTTTAAAAAGGTCGTCCTACAGATTCCTCCTGTACAATAGCCACATGCAGGCTTAGCAAACTATTCAAAGAATCGTAAATATACATGTAACAAGGAAACTGACCTGCAATATGTATCACCATCATCATCATCACTAAAAGATAATATTCACTGCTGTATTGTATAATTGAACTGAAGTACAATTTGCTACCTATTCTGCTATGGCTAAGCCTATGAAGGCCTTACTACTCTAACAACCATCACATAAAAATAAAGGCGTTGTCATCCTCTCCCCATTCCTATCTACATCGGACTCCACTGCTGCCAAACACTGGGTAAGATACAGGGATGTCTCTTCTGTGTCTGCATGCTGGATGTCTTGGTGTTGGTTTGGAGTCCTTGTGGTGAGTCAGGTCCTGTATGGCAAAACCAAAGTATCATGAAACATCAAGCCTTATTGCTATAGGCTAAGGACTATGTCATAATGATTATGACATAACTAACAAAAGTACCATCTTGCATCAAGACAATATAGAAAAACTGTCCATTCTATGCTGTCAAGACTAACTTAATAAGAATTTGCAAACGGTAACCAAACAGTATATACTATACAGACAATCACATTAATCATCACAAATTTTAGGTATCCGTGTACAGATGTTCCTTCGTGTTCAAATAATGATTGATCTTCAATAAAGTCTGTGCCATTAGGTGCCAAACTGTACCAGTACAGCACTAATTATCAGTGTCCAGACTCCTATCGGCATCCTTCAGTTCAGGACCTGTACTGTACCTGACCCTGTGTGCCTGTATCTAAAATTTGTCCAGGAACACAGCTTTATATTAAAGTGTGGTGATACTAATGAGTATGCAGGGCTGTAGTCTTACCTATGGTGCCTGTAGCAGTAGTCAGGTACTCAGAGGCTGAGTTCTAGCAGCTGCTTTGCCTTGCCTTGTTCCCGACTGTCCTTGTTATACAATCTCTGCTGGATTTTGGAGGAAGTATCTACTGAAGATCTCCTGGAGGTATGTAAAATGGGAAACAAATTATGACACAGGTGACAAAATGTGTCACATGATTCTACTTCTCAGAAATAACCTGGGCTAAATTTCTACATGTATTAACAGACATTATCTGCAGCTGAATAGCCTAAACACAATCATAATTTTTGTGTGGAACAAATACATCACATTTTTTATCACTACCTCTTTTCATCAACAGGATTGGCTTATGTGTTTGCTGTAAAAAATACTAACTTCATATCTTAAACCAAGGTCCTTGCTTAAACCCAACACGAATGCCTATTGACCGTTGACATGCATGAACTTATTTTTCCAATAAAAATATCTATGGGGGAGGGCCTAGGGGCAGATTACTAGTAGTTAGTTCTTCTATGCTTCTATAGCATGAATTTCTATGCTTCTGCCGATTACATATCAAGAAGACGAGCAGGATCATGACTGGTTTGTTTTACATACATCTTCTAATATGTACTCTCGTACTTACCGAACTAGAAGGACCGTCCGTTATGTTTGGTCAAAATTATTTTGCTGGCAGACGGGCTTCCGGGTAAGGGGGAGGGGGGCGACGAAGATTGCTCCGCTCGTAGCGTCGCAATTCCGGGCGTGTGAAATGACCTCGCATTTCCCCTCGACTCTCAAGCCTCTCCAAACACGATTGCCGATCATCGTAGACTCCGGCGGTGCCATATATCGCACAAAAAGCGATGTAAACGCCTGATTTCTCCACCGACTGTCCGCCATTTCCTCTAACGGTTTCTAACTGGGCGCCACTGTAGTACGCATGCGTACGCTACCTGGCCAATCAGCGCTAAGTCCCTGATGTACAGTGCCCGGATTATCCAGGCCTGGGATTTATCCATCTGGCAAAAGGACTTTGCTGAAAAGTTGTCAACTTTCATGCTTTCATGTTTACAATATATTAAGTAACGTGTATTTCTGTAACGTTATGTATGTATGTACTTATACATACACACACACACATATATATAATATCTATAACTTATATATATATATCTGTGTGTGTGCATTGTACATGTATATACATACAAACATACAAACATACATACACATATATATATACATACATACATATATATATACATACATACATACATACATACATATATATATATATATATATGTATGTTTAAGGCTTTATTCAGGGGCGCGCCCCTGTTTAAGGCTTTATCAGGGGCGCGCCCTGTTTAAGGCTTCA